CTAGCTCAGGATTGGGAAAGGAAGACTGCAGTCTGTCCTTTTGTTACATGGCAGTCTCTTTACCTGCATTAGAAATAACACTGATAGTTTAGAAGATCAGCTTCTAACAGGAGCTGGACAAATGTGATGGGGATCCCAAGTGGACTCAGAAGACTAGTGCTTTGCCGTAAAGAGGAGGGTAATCTGCTCTGGGACCAAGACCTTAGGCTTTTTGCTCAAGGTACTCAGCCATCTTAAGAATTCCAGGAACTACTATATAATGAAGGAAGCCAAGGGAGATTTACCCAAAGGTATTATCCAAGGAGTACACGGTTTCTAGCCATGGGAAGAGAAGTGGAGCAGGAGTGGGGATTTCTTGTGCACAGCAATGTCAGAGACTCATGCTCTGGAATGAGCTCCTACTTGCCTGGTCAGACTAGCTGCTCCTCAAGGATTATGCCTTAAAGGAACCTGCTGCCCCAGCTCTGTGACTCTCTCCCCCTCGCCCTGCAGAGGATCCTGGAGACAAGGGAAGGCAAGCAGCCAGTTTCATCTGGGTTCAAAAACTCTGCTAAGAGGCTCTCCTCTTTCTCTCCCAAGTACCGATTCAGAATCCAGAACACAGGGATGTCAAGAAGTTTATCCCCCAAAGCCAGTAAGGGGCTGGAAATATGGGGAGAGGAAAGCCAGGGCCCAAGCTCCAGTGACAAGTCCCTCCACTCCAAGAATTTAAGAAGCGTTCCCGTGTTACTGCTGAACTTTTCATGGAGGCCATGAATGCTGATTGATTCCCCCTGCCACACACTTGCACAAAGCCAGTTCCAGCTGGGCCCCAAAAGTGAAATCTAGGATCTCCTGCATACATGCTCTTGCCTGTATAAATTATCTCTCTTCTTCATGGTTTACCATGGCTTAGAAGTTGCTTCCTGACAGGGGTAGGCTAAAGAGATTTTCCTGCTAGAGTCCCTTGATATTGGCCGCTGGGGTTTCATAGCAGTCTTCTACTAGTAGGATCAGCTACCAAGCTTCCCAGAAATGCTCTATTCAGCTAGTACTTATTTTTCTCTAGGCCCAAATATGATCACTACATCAGACTATTAGATCTCCTACTGGGACAGCTTGGTTCGTGCCTCTGCTGCACTCTAGTGAACTTATTCTTTAGAATTTACCTTTCCCTGGGCTTGAGGCCCCAATCTGCCATCAGCTAATGCAGAATGAGGATAAACAGGCTCACTCATCTGTACAGCATTTAAACAGTGGGCCAGGTTCTTTCCTCTCAGCTGGCGATATATTCATCCACCTAAGCCTTCCCTTTTGTGATGGACTATAGAAAGAGATGCATTAGCTGGCAGCTGTGGAACACAGATGACACTTCCGACAGCAGCTTGGAACAG